TTTGGATAGCGCTGCCAAGTTGGTTCAATTTGGTGTTGGTTTCAGTTTCGCAAGAAGGTGAGACGAGAGGTGTGAGCATGTGAAGATATTGAGTGTTTGAGCGAAACACGAGCGGCGTGAGGATAATTTTTTTTACCATTAACCAAGTTTTGCAGGTACTATCATGTCAGATCAAAACAACACACCACCCCATCCCGAGGGAGAACTTAAGTTCCAAATGCAAGCCATGACAAAAATGATGAAAAGCATGAATTTCATGATGGGGAACGTGTGTGACAGACTTGAGAAGGTGGGAAAACATGGAAACGTGGCTGGAACATGTACCCAAGACGTGAGAAAGGTTGGGGTTGAACGGAAATCTAACAATGGCAGTAGGGCCGGAAGGTGAAGGTGGGCTGATTATGAGGATTTTGAGCCTCAATTTGATGATATTTGTGATGGTGGTTTTAAGGATGAGACCATAGGCTACCGGGAAGATTTTCCACAGTGTAGAAATCGAAGGGATTTAATGTATTTGGATGAGGTGCTATGGCAAAAGAAAATGTAGATTCAAAGGGAGAGGTGGTATCAAAGGGAGAGAGATAAAGAGATTAGTGTTCCAAAAAAAGAATCAAAGACTCTATCCCGTATTCTAGGGGAGATGAAGCAAGAATTTGATGTGTTATCAGCAACAATCAATGCCCAGCAAGCTTCAAAAAAAGAGGAGAAAAAGGAGTGTAATGATGATGTACAAAATAGAATGGCTGCAAGTTTCATCCAAAGTTGTTGGCGACGATTGTTTGCAAGAAAAGAACTCCAAAGGCTTCAAAAAGAGGATAAGAAATTGTCCATCCAACTTATTGGTGATTCGAGGATGAATCATCTTGAAGAGAGAGGGAATGATACGATCCAAACAAGGTCAAATTTGGATTTTGATGTAAAATGTGTGATTAGTACTTAAAAGTGCATTTTTATCATGGTTTTATATCATCATTTTGCACTTGAAGTATCAATAACTCCTTAACTAAAATATGTTTTATAATAATGTATCTAATAATATAAGATACCTTTAATTTGTGGTAAATGTCTATTTTTAATGCAGGCCTATCACATAAATGAAAGGATTGATTGATGACTTGAAGAACTTAAATTGCAAGGATAAAGAGATGGCCAAACTTAGAAAAGAGATGTCGGTGCAATCCAAACCGGAACATTGTTCGGTAATTGGGTCATATCTGGAGCTACAGATCTCAGATTTAGGTCCAATTTATATGGATGGAAAGGTAAGACATAGGCCTACAACTTTCATATGGAGCCCAAGATCTAAAAAGGCCATTATCAAGTCCAAATTGTAGCAACAACAAAGAAGCCCGAATCTGTCTTCCAGCCCGAGCACTGTTCGGTATTTTGGCCATATCTGGAGTTCTAGAAGTCCAAATGAGCTGAATTTTTTACACAAGAAAGCCGAGACAATTGCCTACAACTTTCATGTTTGCAACTGGCTCCAATTTTGACGTTATCAATGACGTTTTGGGCAGACAAGAGAAGATAAGGATTGTCACCAAGTCAAGAATTGGTCACCCACTCATCAATTAGTCATCAAATCAATAGTTCCCAATTTTGGCCTATAAAAGGAGGCATTTGCCATGCATTTAGGCATCTTGGTTTCCAGATCAAGATCATGCTCTTCCTTTCTCTCTTTGTATTTTTTGTAATGTTTATGCTTTGCTTTCATTAATATTAAGTTTATGCCTTTCATTTCCTTTCCTTTACTTAGTTAACTTTTATGTTCTTATTTTGTTTATCTATTTTGCTTTCTTTCATTATGTCTAGCTAAGTTAGTTATGTCAAGGTGAAAAGGTTACACTAATGGTGTAAGAATAAGTATAATGTAAACTTAATATGGACTTTAATGTTTGATACTAACATGTTTTATATTTGTTATCTTGTTCACTCTTTAATACTTTGCTTGTTAAATGATTAATCTTGATTTATGTTGTATAACACTTGGTACAACAAATGCTTGGCACTCTCATAGCTCATACTGTATGGTATAACCGACACCTGAGCTATGAAAGGAACTTGATTTGTTGTTAACATAAGTTATAATCATGAATGCTTGACGAGATTTACAAGTATTAGCATTAATTGAATAAGATGACTAATGTAATCATGTTAACAATATATAATCTGATTGGAACCTCCTTTGTGTGTGGTTTCCAATTCAATAATAAGAGTTTATACTATACTTGTTTGATATACCATTAGTGGAATCTCTAACCTTGACATTTGTTATTATTATTGTTTAATCCTTACATTAATATTTCATCTCTAAGTTCTCATCATCATCATCTTCTTCTTCTTCTCTTTCTTTATTATTATTATTATTATTATTATTATTACTACTACTACTACTATTAATACTATTATTATTATTATTATTATTATTATTATTACTGTTGTTGTTATTGTTATTTTATAATTGTTGTTTATAATTTGTACAATTAACCTCCCTGTGGTTCGACCCCGGTCTTGCCGGGTTATTTATTACTTCGACACTCCTGCACTTGGGAGAAGACATCAATCTTTTCGTCGTGTCACGCAATCACCCAACATAAAAATACTATATTACCAAACACGCAATTAATATAAATAAGAAAGACTTGAGAATCAAGCTCGTGTGTCAGTTTTCTTTTCCTTATAGCTCAAGTTAGGTGTCAATACACATAATTCTTCTGCTTTAATCCTTTCCAGCTGGTCTTTTGTGCTTCTATTCTCAGTCAAGAAGTTGAATATCTTTCAGTATCTCTTGTTTTCTCATCAGAAGACAAGGCAGAAGCATCACTGAAGTTACCAAGTAATTTCCGGTCATAACAATGCTTTGCATTTAAAATTATGGTTTTGAAAATACTTCTTCTTTTTTTTTTTTTTACAAAACTATGGTTTGGATATCTAAAATTACTTTTTTTTTATTTTTTTATGGTTTTAATCTGCTAATTTTAAAAATAAAAAAATATTTTGAAAATGCATTATCAAGCGCTCGGTAAACTTGATTCTCACTCAAAGCCTGATGGGGTTAGTTTTTCAATTTATTTTTTCATTTTTTATGTTAAAATATATATTTTTTAAATTAATTTAGACAGTAAGACGAGAATTAATTATGTCTCAGGAATTATTATGTCTTTTGTTCTTAGTTTCAGTAATGTGGCGAAACTCAGTCCTTATCCCATGAACAGCTGCGAAAATCCTCTTGCCCTTCATAGTGATCTCCTCTCTAAAGCTTTTCAGGTGACTGATTAAGAACTTATGACCAATGATTCTTCATTACTTCTCAGAAAAAAAAAATTAGTTAAACATTTCACAACAGTAATATTTAGACAAATATCATTGTTTTTAAACACAATAATATTAAAATATATAAACCACGAGATTATTAAAATATTTAACCAAGACTTTGTAACGTGTATTACTTCACCATTTATTTTTTTTCGGTGCTAATTACACACTTTAACCTCTTTCAGAGCAATCAAAATCTAAGATTAGTCGTGGTGTCCGTAAGCTGACCCAGACACCCATGTTAATCTAAAAAAAAAAAAAATCTAAGATTAGATTTCTAGGTGGTGGCCAAGTGGTAAAGATTTGGGATCAAGGGGTTTGCTCCCTTTGTGGTCTCAGATTCGAGTTCTTTTTTTTTTTTTATTTACGTGGGGTGTCCGGGCCAGCTTACGCGCACCACGACTAATCCCCACGGCCCACTGAATATCCTGCAAGCCCAGTGAGCAGGTAAGGCACTTCTTGATTGCTCATATGATGGCCACTGGAGGGTTATATGATCGTTAACTTCAGGGCTCATGGGATTAGTTGTGGTGCGCGCAAACTGGTCCGGACACCCACGTTAATTTTAAAAAAATCTAAGATTAGAGAACTCGAGGTTGTAAGTTAGTGATTTTAAAAGGAATTTGTTTTTTTTTCTATCATTTGAGTTTGACTTTTTAAATACATGCATATAATCTTTATAGTATTTTACTTATTTATTGAGTTCAAGGATGTTTAGTGGATTCTAAAATTAATCAATTGTATGTGTAAATGACCCAAATATTTATTATTAAAAAAAATAATCTAAAATTAGAGAGAAATTTGACATATGACCCGACTCGGGAGCACTAATGTTGGGTTTGTTTCTTATTTTCTCGGATGTGGTAGTTATCAGCAAATCAATTCCAGCAATTTCTGCCCACAGCATGTTCTTAATCTTACTTCCTGACAGTGACAAGTTTGCCATCCCAGAAATTGAAAGGGATTTGTTTTTTTTTTAAATAATAATAAATGGATTTGTTTCTCGTCTTATCAATTCATTTAAAATTTATTTATTTATTTATATAAGAAATAACATGGTTAAAACCCAATCCACAATGGACTTGATTTAAATGGTTAAGAAATAAATAAATATATATATATATATATATATATTCTTATTGTCAAATTATAATGATTAGTAATAATAACTGTATGAGTTTCCGATAATACAGGATATTCCTCGCTGACTTTCATAGTCAATATGGCACTGCTGCAAATACTCTTAAATAACAATAACAATAAGGTCATTTCAGGTGTGCGTACTATTCACACGCGCTTTGTGACGTCTCAAGCACGGAGCTTCCTAAGCGCCAACAAAGTTACAAACGACAGCGAAAGCAATTGAATCCTCTCAATAAATCCGCTCTCCACGCGCTAATTTCAGCGCGTTCTCGTCTCAGATAACTAACTCCACCATGTTTTGGCTCGTGTTAGTTTTGTACGTTTTTTAAAAATGTTTTTTTTTTGTTTAATTTTTTAATTTATTTTTAATAAAAAATACATTTGCCTTTGCCTTGCTGCACAATAACAAAGACACACTGAATGCTATAGACAACCAAAGAATATAACCTACATCTTGAGTTAATAAGATTTGTGTCCGAAGTTTGCCCTTGCGTGCTTAGAAAAACTACCTTCGCCTTTGTGTATTTCTTTTTTAACTACAGCTGTGTTTTTGGTAATATTAATTTGATATCTTTGATGTTCTTATGGTTTACTATTTCAAGCCAATCAATAATCATTGTCCTTATCAACCCCACATTTTTTTTTCTCTAAAAAATGTAATATAACCGTACTTGGAATCACACTCAACTTTAGAGTTTGGTCTAAACTAGTAAGCTAACGTTGTTTCTGGCTTCCTGTTTCAGACTTTTGGGCCATCATTGAATTTGTTGTAGGTAAAGGAACTTGTGCTTTACGGTCTTTTACTTATCTTTTTAGCCTTGTTTTGATCACAAAGGAGTAAAGACTACAATTTTGCTTGATCATCATCTCCTCTTGGATTTTCTTGCCGTGTGAGTGATCAATCTTGGATTTATTTGTTTCTTGTTTCCTGTGTTCGTGTTTGTGTTTTGTTGGTGATCAGTAAGGTGTTTAAACCTTGAAATTGTTGATTAATGGCGGAATTGGTGGGTCCAAGGTTGTACAGCTGTTGTAATTGTCGAAACCATGTTTCACTTCATGATGATGTAATTTCTAAGGCTTTTCAGGTGAATCACTTAAATCTTTGATAAAATTGTTGCTTCATATTTTCTTCTAGCTGCTTTTTTATGATAATTGGCTGTTCCTTGTCCTTATGTCTTGACTTGGTCTTGCTGATCATTGTATTTGATAGCCATGTTCTTTGTGTTTTATAGATTTTCTGTGCAATGATCTTTAGATCGACATGGTTTCATTTTATCAGTGAGAGAAATGATTTGGATTATCCTGTTCATAGCATTTCTCTCATCCATTGATGTCAATCTATGTAGAAAATCAGGTGATAACTGACCCTTATATCAGCAAGTTACTATATAAGCGAGTCTCTGATGAAGTGTCTTTTTTCTTCAATAATGTGAAACCCTAAAAATGATACCTGCATCTATGTCCATAAGATTGTTGTATTCAGTTCAATCTCTGATTGCTAGTTTTTTTATCAAGTAATTCCGTTTTTTCCCCCCGCTATACAATGGAATTATATAGTATACTATGATAGGAAGCAGTGACAAGAATTCTGTTCAATATCTTCTTCATAATTTTGTTGACAGGGAAGACATGGTCGAGCCTTTCTGTTCTCTCATGCGATGAACATTGTCGTGGGACCTAAAGAGGACAGGAATCTCACGACTGGTCTCCACACTGTTGCTGATATATCTTGTGCCGATTGTCAAGAGGTGCTGGGCTGGAAGTATGAAAGAGCTTATGAGGCATCTCAGAAGTACAAGGAAGGGAAGTTTATATTTGAGAAGTTAAAGATTGTCAAGGAGAACTGGTAGCATCCCGTTAGAGTCCTTGTATTTATTCCAGTGTTGATTCAGCTGCGTTGTTGCTTGTTGTAAAGTTCATCTTGAACAGGAATTTGTCAACTAATTCAGATTGTCAATTGTCCCTAGTGGTTCATCCTTGCATCGTTCCATGTATGAAAGATGGTTGGACACTCAATTTCTTTGTTAATGAAATTGTGATTTGCCTTTTGGACTCTCAATTCCTTTGTTAATGAAATTGTGATTTGCCCGAAAAGGATAATGTTGTTATTGCTCCATATTCAATCTTACTTGGTGGTAGGTAATGGTCTTTGATGCAAGAATCCTGGTTTCCGCTTGACTGGCTGGAAGCAGATGGAAAAGAAACTGAACCTGGCAAATGTTTTGTTATCTATTCACTTGTCCATCTGCAATTCTGTATTCGAATCTGAGATTAGCAAAACAATGAAATCCTAGATTGCTGGCTATTCTTTGGTATACATGCTTGTCTGAACTAGGTGATCTTGAGGAGACTGATGCAGAGCTCATTTCTGATGTGGTTTTATAAAACCCATTTGGAGTTCATTTATTTTTTACTTTGATCAATCTGCAACATAACTGCAGATTTCTGGTGCCTGCATCATTTACATGATGTAGCAAGCCAATGATCAAGTAAAATTGCTTTCTGAAAACTCACTGCTCCATTACAGTTGCATTCTCTTATATGAAGTAATAGCAACATAACATGCACCATAACAACCAAACATCATTGGCATTTAGGTTTTAGATGGACTGGAATCTTATCACTGGACATGTTTTTTTAAGCTGCTTCATCAGAATTTACTAGTTTTGTTTTTAATCAGAATATGATACCTCCCATGCAGTTGAACCTCTTGAAGTCCAAGATCGGTTAGAACCACCATGTCTAGCATCTTTACATTTCTATAAGCTACAACTACTAGTATCAGTGTCTGCTTTAGTTACAAAACTAGTAAGTTAACATCAATGATCACATAAGAATCGGATCAAACAGTACAACATTGTGTGCGCACATGCACGTCCCTTGTAATTGTAGGGAGAAATCAAGAAATGGACAGTAGAGCTCTACGATTCTGATAATTCCTTTTGCTTCCTTTTCCTGGGGAAAAATGGCCCCAGCTTTGTTATTAATTTCAGCCGATGCCTCCATTCGTTGAATCTTCTAAGCTTCCAGGTCTGCCACCCCTGTTCTGATTTCTTCAAGCTATGCTTCAAGCTTTGAACCTTGACCAGATGAGTCTCAGTATCAGAAAAGGCCCTTTCTGCTTCAATAAATTGGTGAGAAGAGAGTTCCAAACGAAGAAGAATATAGGATGTCATGGCGATGTAAAAAGCACGGTAATCTGCACCGAGGGCACAAAGAGTTGTGAAGGCACCTTTAGCTTGAGTGGTCATAAGAGCTGCATCCTTTGGCTTTGCAGTTGCTAAGAAGGATACCGATACATTCTTCACTGCAGGAATTGTCAAGGCATAAGCCTGGAGCATTTCAGCTGCGATCCCGCTTGTATCGGGCACGTGGTTCGGACCAGAAAGCATAGAAAGTATATCATCATACAGTATATCATCATCCATTTTTCTATCTTTGGAGACAACGGAGTGTCGTAGGCTTCATCACAAGTCCCTGTTCCATTCACAGGCTCAACGGGAAACGTTGTATTAGTGTTCTCAGTCTCAGTAGCTCCAGTTTCGGAGAGCGTAGTCTTCACCCACCGCTTCTCCTCGTGTCTGAGATTCTCATTTCTTCGACTCCCCTTCTTCGTGGCTAATATTGTATCTTCTTGTCGTTGGTCCTCAGATTTGATTATTGTAATCCTCTTTTGTCTACGCAAGTTTGGACCTCCTCCCTTTCCCATCTTCACAAGAATTACTAATACTCTCAGAGATGCACACGAGTTAGCACAAAATTTAGTTCTCACACAGTACAAGTATTAGCAATATCAGCATAACAATGCTTAAAGCTACATATCACTAATAACACTTTTAAGAGCTCAAGAGATTGATCCTATCTAAACAGTCCTAACTTTGTTGCAGGGAATGGTTTGGTACACATGATAATTTTGAACTAGTTGTTCTTGAGGATAGAATGGTGCTGGCTTCTTATGAGGTATTAAAGAACCCTACAATGTCGGCTATTTGGGTACGGCTTGCAGATCTCTAGTGCCTTAATGCATACCCTTGGGTGCTCAAGGATAATTTTTTGACCCTGAGAAAGAGTCAAAGTGGTTTCTCAGCTGAACACCTTGCCTCATTATTGTCAATTGCAAATCTTTTGAAAAGGGTTGAGCTTTATCTTGTTTGCAACCAAATATCGTTTATGAATCTCGCAGACTTGTTGGACATAAATTATAGAAATATAAGAATCTTAGGGAAGATCAGATTTTCACCACCTCTAGTGATTTAATGGAAATGGCTATATCAGTTCCTAAATAAACAAATCTCTACCTGGAGTTGGCGGATTATCTGCAACGGCTAGAAAGTGTTTCCATAGCCATTTGCTTATCCTACAAAAAGACTCCTTCAGCTCTCCACTTCTGGCAGAGAGCAGGACGAGCTGCCTAAATCCACTAGCTTAATTTAGCACTGAAATTATCAGTCTGAAAACAGGCATGATGTGGTTTAACCACTTACACGTAATATGAACTGGAAAGCCTATGCATTCTGGAGCTGGAAGTTGATTGCTATTGTACAAGTGCATTCCGTAACAAGGAAATGAATTAGATAGCAACAAGCCAGTAAACCATAATCATCTGAACCAAATTTATGATGGAACATCGCTAGCATGACTCCTATTCAACTGAGCATGCAGGTCAATAATGGTGGGTCTAAAGTTGAAAGTACTCTTTCTTGCATCATTTATTCCTAAGAGATTCCAAAATGGTTTAATTACATAAGGTAAGGAGAGTACTATTGTCCCTATAACCAAATCAGTTGAACAATGTGCACACATGGTAGTTGTATGAGGGAATCAAGAAGTGGAAAGGAGAGCTTTAGTCTCTTCCATAGCAGCTGTAGCAGCCTCTAGTCGGCGGAGAATAGATTGAAGTGTTTCTTTGGCTTCCTTTGCCTGTGCAGCAATAGTGTGATGTTTTATCTCAGTTTCAGCCATTGCTTCCTCCTGCTGTATCTTCTCAGCTTCCAGGTAAGCCACCTCGGTTCTCCTTTGTCCAAGCTCTGCCTCAAGCTTGTCCAGCAAGGCCTTGGTCTCTTGATACCTTGCTTCAAGAGGAGCAAGGTACTCTCTGGCTTTTTCCAGATTTGCCTCAATTTCAGAAATAGCCCTTGCTGCTTCAGTAGATTGATCAGAAATATTCTCATAAGAAGATACCAGCTCTACAGCTTCCATGTTCTCCTGTAACTCTTTCTGAGCTGTAGAGAATTCAGAGCAGTGACGAATGTAAGATCTCACATTATTGTAGAGCGAACCACAATCAGCATTGAGGGCATAAAGAGATGCGAATGCGCTGTTAGCTTGACTGATCATAAAGGCTAGATCCTCTGACTTTTTAGTTATTAGGAAGGATATCAGCGCATTCTTCACTGCAGGAATCGCCAGTGCATAAGCCTGGCCCAATTCTGCTGTGAGCCCACTTGCATCAGGTACTTGAGGGGGACCTGAAAGTGTAGGCAGTATATCATCATTGACTTCATCATACGCCCCCATCTTCTTCAAAGTCTCAGGAGACACCACAGTGTTTGGGGTCCCTGTCCCAGCAGTTTCCACCTCAGGGAGCTCCGTCTTAAACCTCCCCTCCCACTCGTGTCTCAGGTTCTCACTTCTTGGAACTCCCATTTTCACGGCTGACATTTCATCCTCTTGCTCTTGGTTCTCAGATTTGATTAATATCGTTTTCTTTTGTCCAGAAATATCCACAATTGCTTCTTGAGTCTCCCTTTCATGTTGCTTAAGCCCCTCAAGTTCAGGCCTTGCCCTTTTACCGCAAGTCATACCCTGCAAGGTGCAAGCATATATTAGTGAACAAATCTGATATCCTGTCAGTGTAACTATTATCAATATCAGCACATACAATGCTTAAGCCTATAGATCATTGACAAGATAGAAAAGTTCAAGAGTTAGATACTAACAAAATGTAATCTTAAACAATGCATCGTCAAATGTCAATATCAAAAAGAGAAAAATACTATAACAAATTGCCACATACAGTTACTGAGATTGTAGCTGGCCTGCTGCTATAAACATAACTTCTGAAAATGGGAGAGAGAACCCCACCTAGTCCTCTTCATATTGTCATCATCCTTAACATGACCTGACAGAAGGGAGCTATAAACTAGAGAGAGAATATAGCCCCCTCAAATTTTCAATTTATTGCTATGTTGTTCTTCATTTTTTTTAAATTCAAGTTACCATGATAAACGCCTTCAATAGCTCTACCATTGTCAGTTTAATAATGTGGAACAGAAACTAAAGGATCTCCATAATCCTTCCTCGACAGATACTTACTAGAATCACACATGACATGGTGCAAGAGCAGTAAAGGGAACTCTTATTACATGCATTTCTGTGCTAACAATATGAGGCTAAGCTGATTATCAGAATGAAGTTTCTTTTTGAACCTCAGTTCCTCACACCACATTAGTAATTTAGTATCAAGCAATTGATCAAACATTTAACACATTTACCGTGACACTTGAGCCCACTGTGCCAAAAGAACAATAAAGGAAAAAAAACAGAAACATATTCTTGGAAGCAAACATTTCGATTATCTAAAACCAACATAAACAAAACCTATATAATCAAGACAGTAGTGCATTCTTAGAAACTTACCACCCACCACAAAAACACACAATGTGGAGGCAGGGAAATGAGGATGGTAAGATCAGAAAAGCAGTAACCGTTTCCAATTTTAGCATGTTTTGATTGTTGGGAAAAGACAGGAACTTGAAAATAAATTTTGAGCCCCAGAGCTCCCATCATTTTGAATTCACAGGTAAAAAAAATCCTCCATTCAACTGAAGCTGAAGACTAGCATTATGAGGTTTTCTTTTCCATCTTCATAATGACTGGGCATATGACCTCCGTTATTCTCACTTCTTAAAACCCATCAAAGTAAAAGAGGCAAAAAGAGACAGAAAACAAAACAATTTCCTTTCATGATCTCCTCTTTTCTTGGCAATCAAAAGGAATATACAAGTGAAAAATGTATGTAAGAAATCTTACCATGTTAGTGTTCCTGGGATTT